TTATATAGAGTGTAAGGGAGGGAGGGAGAGAGAGAGAAACATGAATGTGAGAGAGACACATTGATTAGTTGCCTCCTTCATGACCCCATCACACCTGCAACCCAGGTATGTGCCCTTGTCCAGGAATTGAACCTATGACCCTTTGGTCTGAGGGACAACGCTCTAACTGCTGAGCAAAATGGCCAGGGCAACTTTTTATAATTATATTAAGGTGAAATTCACATAACAAAATTAGCCATTTTAAAGTGAAAAATGTGGTGATATTTAGCACATTCACAATGTTGTGCAACCACCACCTCTATCTAGTTTCAAAACACTTTTATCACCCCAAGCAGAAACTCTGTAAGTAATCATTCCAACCGCTAATCTACTTTTTGTCTCTCTGAATTTGCCTGTTATATTTTATTTAAGTGAAATCATACAATATTTGTCCTTTTGTGTCTGGCTTATTTCATTCAGTATGGTGTTTTATATTATTTTATTTTTATTTATTTTTTTATCTTTATTGTTGAATGCATTACATATGTTCCTCATTTTTCTCCCATTGACCCCCTCCTCCCCACTTCCACCTCCCTCCCGCCTTTTCCCACACTGTTGTCTGTGTCCATTGATTATGCATGTAAGTTCTTTGGTTTATTTCTTCCCACCCCTCAACCCCCTTCTCTTTGAGGTTTGTCAGTCTAGCAACCAATTTATTCTTAATCCCTTCACCTTTTCAACCATTCCCCCAAACCCCTCCCATCTGGCAACCAACAAAATGTTCTCTGTATCTATGAAAATGTTTCTGTTCTGCCTGTTCATTTTGTTTGTAGATTCTATTGCTGATAGATATGTGTTCGTTGCCATTTTGTTTGTTCATATATTTTATCTTTTTCTTCAAAAACACCCTTCAACATTTCATATAATAATGGTTTGGTGGTGATGAACTACTTTAACTTTTTCTTGTCTGGGAAACTCTTTATATGGCCATCAATTCTAAATGACAGCTTTGCAGGATAGAGTAATCTTGGTTGTAGGTTCTTGCTTTTCATCACTCTAAATATTTCTTGCCACACTTTTCTGGCCTGCAAAGTTTCTTTTGAGAAATCAGCTGACAGTCTTATGGGAACTCCCTTGTAAGTGACTAACTGCTTTTCTCTTGCTGCTTTTAAGATTCTCTCTTTGGCCCTAGCCGGTTTTGCTCAGCGGTTAGAGCATCGGCCTGCGGTCCAGAGAGATCCGGGTTCGGTTCCCGCTAAGGGCACATACCTCGGTTGCAGTTTGTCCCCGGCCCTGGTCGGTCGTGCGGGTGGCAGCCACTCGATGTGCTCCTTTCACGTCGATGTTTCTCTCTCTCTTTCTGTTCTTCTCTCTCCCTCCCACTCTACCTGAACAAAAAATGGAAAAATGTCCTCGGGTGAGGATTAAAAAAAAAAAAAAAAAGATTCTCTCTTTGTCTTGAACCTTTTGCATTTTGATGATGATGTGTCTTGGTGTGGGCCTCTTGGGGTTCGTCTGGTTTGGGACTCTCTGTGCTTCCTGGACTTGTATGTCTGTGTCCTTCACTAAGTTAGGGAAGTTTTCTGCCATTATTGTTTCAAATAGGTTTTCAACTTCTTGTTCTCTCTCTTCTCCTTCTGGCACCCCCAAGATGTGAATGTTTGCACGCTTGAAGTTGTCCCAGAGGCTCTTTACACTACCCTCATTTTTTTTGGATTCTTTTTTCTTTTTGCTGTTCTGATTGGGTGTTTTTTGCTTCCTTGTATTCCAAATCAATGGTTTGCTTCTTGGCTTTACCTACTCTACTATTGAATCTGTGTAAATTATTCTTTATTTCAGTTAGTGCCTCCTTCATTTCTGACTGTTTTTTTTTTAATGCTCTTGAGGCCCTCACTAAGTTTATTGAGCATCCTTATAAGCAGTATTTTGAACTCAGCATCTGTTAGGTTGCTTATCTCCATTTCACTTAGTTCTTTTCCTGGAGTTTTGTTCTGTTCTTTCATTTGGGACCTGTTTCTTTGTCTCCTCATTTTGGTTGCCTCTCTGTGTTTGTTTCTGTGTATTACTTAACGAGAGGTATGGGGCTATCTGAGGCCAGATGCTGCTTGTTTGAAAGAATTTAGGAAAACCTGAAGCAGGATCCAAGACAGGCCAATCCTATGGTTAAGCAACTGGCAACAGCTTGGGTGGGCCTGAAAGTTGGGTGGGGTGGGGCCTCAGGGAATCACCAGGGCGGGGCTACCAGTGTGAGCCAGGTTGCTGGGGTCCCAGATATGGTGGCTGTCTGCCGCTGCAGGGAAGGGCTCACCAAAGGAACAAAGGCCTCCGACAGCACGTCTGTCCTAGAGAAGGCTGCCTCTCCAGCCCTTGGTCCAATGCCAAACAGCTCAGTTCTTCCCTGTATGTCTCTGGCGCCCCTCGAGCTCCCTCTTCTCCAAGCCTAGAGGGAGCAAGTCCAAGTAAGTCTGTGCGTGGGCCCTTTAAGAGGAGCTGCCTGGGGCTCCAGTTGCCTCAGCCTCCCTGAGCCTCAGTTCCCACTGGTCTTTCCAGCCAGAAGTGTGGGGACTTCTCTTCCTGGCACTGGAACCCTGAGCAGAATGCCTGGTGTGGGACGGGGACCCTTCTGTCCTCAGGGAGGACCTTCCCAGCTGAGGTGTCCTCCTGATTTTTATCCGCCACACGTGGGTGTGGGACCAGCCCACCTCCTCTGCCCCTCTCACCAGTCTCAATGCAGCAGCTTCTTTAATTCCGTAGTTGTAGGACTTCTATTCAGCTGGATTTCAGGCGGTTTTAAATGATGGTTGTTCTGTAGTTTAGTTGTTACTTTGATGTGGTTGTGGGAGGATGTAATACCGCGTTTACCTACGCCGCCATCTTCTATTATTTTATTTTTTAAATATGTTTTTATTGCCCTGGCCGGTTTGGCTCAGCGGTTAGAGCATCAGCCTGAGGTCCAGAGAGACCCGGGTTCAGTTCCTGCTAAGGGCACGTATCTCGGTTGCAGTTTGTCCCCAGCCCTGGTTGGGTCATGCAGGTGGCAGCCACTCGATGTGTCCCTTTCACGTCGATATTTCTCTCTCTCTCCTTCCTACTCTTTCTGAACAAAAAATAAATAAATATATTTTTTTTTATTTTATTTATTCTTTCATCTGTTGATGGGCACTTGGGTTATTTCAAACTTTTGGCTATTGTGAATAGTGCTGCTGTGAACATTGGTGTGCAAGTGTCAGTTGGAGTGCCTGCTTTCAATCCTTTTGTGTATATACCCAGAAGTGGGATTATTGGATCATATGGTAATTTAACTTTTTGAGGAACTGCCAGTTTTCCACTGTGGCTGAACCATTTACATTCCCATCAGCACAGCCTCATCAACGCTTGTTAGTTCCCATTTGTTCATTGTAGCCATCCTAGTGGGTGTGAAATGGTATCTCGTGTGGTTTTGATTTACATTTCCCTGAAGATGTTGAGCATATTTTTATGTGTTTGTTGGCCATTTGTACATCTTTTGGAAGAAATGTCTATTCAGCTCCTTTGCTGTTTGTTTGTTTGTTCATCTTCACCAGAGGATATTTTTCCATTGATTTTTGGATAGAGTGGAAGAGAGGGAGGGAGAGAGGGAGAGAGAGAGAAACATCGATGGGAGAGAGACACATCGATTAGTTATCTCCTACACAACCCTGACCGAGGCCGGGGATCCAACCTAAAGCCCAGGTATATGCACTTGATTGGGAAGCCAACCCTCGACCCTTCGGTCAATGGGCTGACACACTAACTGCTGAGCCAAACTGGCCATTGCAGCCCATTTTTAATTGGGTTGTTTGGTTTTTCAGTTGATGAGTTAAAAGAGTTCTTTATATATTCTGGATATTAGACTCTTATTAGATATATAACTTGCAAATATTTTTCTCCCATTCTATGGTTATTTTTTCACTTGCCTAATAGTATCTTTTGATAGACAAAAGGACATATTTTGATGTCATATTTAAAAAACCATTACCAAACCCAAGTTAATGAAGATTTGTCCATGTTTTCTTCTCAGAGATTTATAGTTTCACTCTTAAATGTAGGTCTTTCATCCATTTGAGTTAGCTTTTGTATATAATGTAAGAAAAAAGTCCAACTTCATTATTTTTCATGTTTATATCTAGTTTTTCAGTACCATTTGTTGAAGAGGCTATCTTTTCTCCCATTGAATGCCCCGGGTATGCTTGTTGAAAAGCAATTGACTATATATGTTAAGGTTTATTTCCGTGTTCTTTATTTTATTGGTCTATATGTGAAGCTTTATTCCAGTACTACACTACTTTGATCACTGTAGCATTTTGGTAAGTTTTCAAATTGTAAGTATGAGTCTTCCAATATTTTTTTTCATGATTATTTTAACTGTATGAGGCCCCTTGAATTTCCATACAAATTTTATCAACAGGTTGTCATCATTTTCTTAAAAAATATGATGACACAGTTTTTGTCCTGTATTCTATTTATATGATGTATACCATTAATTGATTTTCAGATGTTGAACCAACCTTGCATTCCTGAGATAAATCATGCTATATATTCCTCAAAGGACACAGCCTCCTCAGGCATACACCATAACTTTGGGGTGACAGTGGTTTTAGAAAGGCTTTTTGTTTTCTCTTCCCCTGATCACACCCAGATTTTAGGATCCACTAAATTCCAGATGATTGCTCTATTTTTTTTTTTTTTTGGCAACGCTCTAAAGCATGAGTTGTTCCACAGTCTGATTGTTCAGTGCTCATGCTATGATAGTTATTAAATATTTTTAAATTCTTTTATGCTTGTAAGATAAGAAAACTGAGTCTCAAAGAGATGAAAACATTTGCCCAAAGTCCATAAATAGTGAGAAGGGCCAAGATTTAAGCTCTGGCCCTCATTGTTCTAAAAATCTTCTTTCTCGTGGAATTTTACAGTCTGGTGTCTGAGACATGTCCCTTAAAGTCTGCTGGTTTTGGTGACCCCAAGATTCCCTCAGGAGTCAGTGGACTTGTCAGAAGAGAGCCATGGCGTCCTTTGTAGGAAAAACGAAGGAAGAAGCCCCCAATCAACCCCAAACGTTCACAACCTCACCCTTCAGATTCACAGCCAAGATTCTGGCCACCAAGACCCAGAACTACTTTGCTCAGACTAAAAGAACGGAGACTATCTTGATCCAGATTGCCTTCTCCATTGGGCTAGGTAGCATGTGGCGTTTTCCTTACCTGTGTCATCGGAATGGAGGAGGTAAGGCCAGGGACCCGGGCTCCTGAGTTTAAGGAAGAATTTTAAGAATAGAAGTCTAGCCCTGGCCGGTTTGGCTCAGCGGTTAGAGCGTCGGCTTGCGGTCCGGAGAGACCCGGGTTCGGTTCCCGCTAAGGGCATGTACCTCGGTTGCAGTTTGTCCCCGGCCCTGGTTGGTCGTGTGGGTGGCAGCCACTCGATGTGGCCCTTGCACATCGATGTTTCCCTCTCTCTCTCTTCCTCTCTCTCCCTCCCACTCCATCTGTACAAAAAATGGAAAAATGTCCTCGGATGAGGATTAAAAAAAAATAATAAAAATAAAAATAAAAAAAAAAAATAAATAAATAAAGAATAGAAGTCTACACTCCTGGGTCCTGGGGGAGAAAGAAACTAAGGGAGGGCACCCAGACTCCTAGGGATAAAGAGGAGGGGGGCCGGGACTCCTGGCTGCCTGAGCACAGCGTGTGGCTCCCTTCTTCAGGTGAATTTATCCTGATGTACCTCCTCATGCTCTTGTTGTTCGGAATTCCCCTGTTGTACATGGAGATGATCATGGGGCAATGGCTGCGCATAGACAGCATCGGGATCTGGAAGCAGCTCGTCCCCTGTCTGGGCGGCATAGGCTACGCTAGCATACTGGTGAATGAGGGGTCTGGCCAAGAGGCATCCCAGCTCCCCGTCCCTTGCAGTCTCCAAGTCCCCTATCTCCCCCCTGCTCTCCCCTCAGGCCCACTATGTCCACCCCCAGGTGTGCATCTTGGTAAGCCTGTATAATAGCATCATCATCAGCTGGAGCTTATCCTACTTGGGCAACTCCTTTTACCACGCCCTGCCCTGGAACCAGTGCCCGCTGGCAACGGACTTCAATGTCACCGGTGAGGAGAGGGAGTGAGAGGGCTGGCAGGGCACAGGGAGGCAGGGGGCCCCAAGAAGCAAGAGATAGGGAGGGAGAGGCAAAGGAGGGAGAGAAGAGCAGAAACAGGCTCCAGGTAAGGTGGTGCCTAAGCGCTTGGCTTCCCCAGACCTCTCCTGCCTTCAGACTGTGCCCCACCAGTACTTCTGGTACCATACCACCCTGAATGCCTCCAGCTACATTGAGGAAGGGATCAAGAGCCTCGTCCCGAATCTCACCCTGGGCATCTTCGCAGCTTGGTTCATCCTGTTCGTTATCATAATCACAGGGCTAAAGATCTCCATGCCGGTAAGTCACCCCAACCCCGGACTCACCGCCACTTCACCTTTGCAAGTCCTGAGATCCTCCTTGGGATCGCTTTCCTGACACTGCCAAACTCCTTCCTGATGACCTCTCTTCTCCAACACCACGACCCTCCCACTCACCCAGAGGACAAGCTCAGCTATGGCCACCCAGCCTCTCCAGCAGGGGTCCTGAGGAAGGTAGTGGACTCCCCCCAGGCAGCTGTGTCAACCACGCCTCTCACAAAGAGCTGCTCTTCTCCCATCCGTGGAAGGAAAGAGTACCCTGTGTTGACCCAGCTCCCTCTTCACCATCCCCCACCCCCGTGTCACTGCAGGTGGAGACCTGCAGGCAGATAGCCTCACCCCAGAGCCTTGCATCTTCCACCTTCCTGCGTCTTGATAGGGCCTGTTAATCTCCCAAGGAGCCTACTGGTACTGATTTCTTTCAGAATTTCCCATGTAGAGTATTTTATTCCAATCCAGACTTCCAACCCATCCCCCTTGGTACCTGGATCATTTATTTCAGCATGATCATTAGATCATCTTGGTTAACTTTACCAGCCTCTTCTGGCCCCGCACCTATGCAGACAATCAGCATTCACCCCACGCATCCCTGGAGGCTCAACTCACCATCTCTCACAGCCCCCAAAATAAACCACTCACACCAAAACAGATTTTACTAAAGGCTCAGTAGGGGCATACCGGGTGGTGGTGGAGCTTACCTCACCTACCCCAAAGCAAAAACAAAAAACTTTCTCTTCCTTCTGGATGGTGGGGCTCAGTGGTTGAGCATCCACCCATGCACCAAGAGGTCGCCAGTTTGATTCCCGGTCAGGGCACAGGCCCAGGTTGCGAGCCAAATCCCCAGTGGAGGGCATGCAGGAGGCGGCCAATCGATGTTCTCTCTCATTGATGTTGCTCTCTCTCTCTTTCTCTCTTCCTCTCTCTCTAAAATCAATAAAGGAGAAAAAAAAAAACCTTTCTCCTCCCAGTTTCTTCTCCTCCTCCTCCTCCTGTGACGTTGTCCCCTGAAGCCTTCAGCCCCACTGGCTCCTCTCCCCTTTGCAGTTCATAGGTCCATGATGAATAATGTCCAAATGCCCCACCACTTGAAAGCCATCTATATTTGCGGTCTCTCTCTCTCTCTCACACACCTAAGCAGCTTACTGGTGGACCCCCCGCCCCCCTTGTTGGGTCCCTAGAATAATCCTTGCAGAGCTCCCTCATGTTCTATCTAGGCCACCTCAACACCACTCACCTCCACGTCCCTACTCCTGCCGACCTGTAGTCTCCTGCTGCTTCTCGCCTGTCTTCTCCTCCTCCCCACTGCTCCTGACTTCTGGTTTCTGTCCTGACCCACCTGGACAGATCCTGATTCTCTCCGTATTCCTCCCGTACATCACCCTGCTCTGCCTCCTGATCCGAGGTCTCTTCTTGGAAGGCGCAGCCACCAGTCTCAGACGTATGGTGATGACAGAGGTGAGGCTGGGGAACCCGCACTTCCTCCCTCCCTCCGCTCCCCAGAGCTTCTCTGCATCTCCTTCCCCACATCTGCTTTCCTTCTGCCCCAGCCTCGCCTCATCCCTCTGCTCTCCCCCCGAGCCTGCCCCTCTCCCCGCTCACTGGTGGTCCCACCCTCTGGGCCCACGCCCACATTGCTCTAACCCACCTCCATCCACAGCCCTCCGACTGGGCCTCGCTGGACCGGTGGTATCAGGCGGGAGGCCACGTGCTCTATTCCCTGGGCCTAGGCATGGGCACTGTCATCAACATCTCCTACAAGGCTGGAGACAACAACTATATCCAGGTGGCCTTGTGGACGGTCGTGGTCAACCTGGTGACCTCATTGCTGGCCACGTCTATCATCTTTATAGTGCTGGGGTTCTGGGCCACCACCAGTGGTCAAGCCTGTGTTGAGAAGTAAGTAATCATAGCCTTGCAGGTCCAAAAAAAGGTCCCCCTTTCTCTACCTTAGCAATGCCCAGGCTCATGGGCTGTAAAATTCAAGCCTCTCAAATAATAAGAAGAACACGTTTATATTAATAACACAGATAAAACAGTCAAAAAGTAAATATTTTAACAGCCGCCACTTTGCAGATTAAATAGTCTCAGCCATGACTGTCCAAATGAGTCCATAAATTGCAAATGGTGTAAAGAAGATTTCAAAATCAACTGTTTAACTCACAAAGGAGGCCATTATAACATTCTGAGCTTCAGTCGGTGGTTATTGGTCTAGGCTGCATATTGGAATCATTTGGGGAGCCTTAGAAAACACCTCTGGCCCTGGCCGGTTTGGCTCAGTGGTTAGAGCGTCCGCCTGCGGTCCGGAGAGACCTGGGTTCGGTTCCTGCTAAGGGCACGTACCTCGGTTGCAGTTTGTCCCCGGCCCTGGTTGGTCGTGCGGGTGGCAGCCACTCGATGTGTCCCTTCACATCGATGTTTCCCTCTCTCTCTCTTCCTCTCTCTCCCTCCCACTCTATCTGTACAAAAAAATGGAAAAATGTCCTTGGGTGAGGATAAAAAAAAATTTTTTTTAAAGAAAAAAAAGAAAACACCTCTGTCTGAGTCACCCCCAGAGATTGGATTTACTGGGTGTGGGGTGCACTTAGGCATTGAGATTTTTAAAGCTCCAAGGTGGATTTTTTCTTCCAGTTAGGATGTTGAAGGATGCAAAAGTGCTTGCTTCCATGGTAGCAGCAATTTTAAAGATGGATAAAATAAAAATCATATTTTCTCATAAAGTTATTGAAGAGCAAAGGGCACAAAGAAGCCTTAGTGAAATAAATCCTAGAGAGTAATGAGCCCATCGTCAGTGAGCAAAGAGCCATGAATGTCTTTCCATTTGGGGGTAAGTGCCTATTCTGGGGGCATGTGAGTGAGGAGCAGGGCTGTCATAGATGGAGTGACTTTGCACAGGTAAGAAGAAAACACCCAAGCATTTAATGTCAGTATAGGCTGCCATTAGGTACTGGAAACTCAAAGAGCCCCCAACACACAGATAAAATTGCTTGACCCAACGATTTGGCTTGCTCTCTTCCCAGGAGTTTTGCTGAAGTGTCAGAAGGAGACAGGGATAGCAAGCGAGGAAGTGTGCATAATCTCATGGAGCTCAGATTTATGACCCCATTGGAGCTGAATACAAAGACAAGCCCCAAACCACTAGAGTTCAACCCACTCTGACCCAAATAATGATGACATCAAAGGAATTAGTCCTTGCTGGGGTCGCAGAAAGTTGGGGGCATGACTCCAAGTGAAAAGTGAGCTCTCCTTAGTTCTGTTTGAAGGCAGAGAAAAACCTCAACTAATTAAAACTGTCACTCAGCCCAGCCAGTGTGGCTCAGTGGGCTGAGCAATGTCCCATGAACTGAGAGGTCCCAGTTTGATTCCCACTCAGGGCACATGCCCAGGTTGTGGGCTAAATCTCCAGTGGGGGGGTGGGGGGTGGCCAATCAATATTCTTTCTCATCGATGTTTCTTTCTCTCCCTTCCTCTCTCTCTAAAATCAATCAATCAATCAATCAATCAATCAACAAATAAATAAATATCAATGGGAAAATATCCTTGTGTGATAATTAACAACAACAAAAATATAATACTCAATGAAATTCTTTTTTTTTTTTTTTTTTATCCTCACCCGAGGACATTTTTCCATTTTTTGTTCAGGTAGAGTGGGAGGGAGAGAGAGGAACAGAGAGAGAGAGAGAGAGAGAGAGAGAGAGAAAGAGAAACATCGATGTGAAAGGAACACATCGAGTGGTTGCCACCCGCACAACCGACCAGGGCCGGGGACAAACTGCAACCGAGGTACATGCCCTTAGCGGGAACTGAACCCGGGTCTCTCAGGACTGCAGGCCGACGCTCTAACCGCTGAACCAAACCGGCCAGGGCTCAATGAAATTCTTGAGGCCGAATGAAAATAATTCAGTTTTGGTTTCTATTAAATGTCATAAAAGTATACAGTTGGAAAAGCAGTTTCACATACCCAAGTTGTTAAAAGTTTCCAAATAACTGAATAACCTAACGTTTCAATTTTAATTAAAATTTTTCCTTGGTCATATTAGCCACATTTTAAGTACTCATAGCTACATCTTTTTTTTCTTTTTTTCTTTTTTCTTTTTTTTCAGAGAGAGAGGAAGGGAAGAAGGGAAAGAGAGAAACATTGATTGGCTGCCTCCTGCACGACCCCGCCCCTACAATGGGGATGGAGCCCACAACCTAGGCATGTGCCCTTACCGGAAACTGAACCGGGACCCCTCAGTCCATGGAATGACACTCAATCCAATGAACCACGCGACTGGACTCATAGCTACATCTTGTTAGTGGCCACTGTATTAGAGAGCACAGCTCGAGAGTCATCACCATAAAACAAAATAAGAGGTAAACCTAAAAAGGCAATAGAAAAAAAAAAAAAAGTATGAAAACAAAATTATTTGATAAATACTGCCCCCACCAAAAAAATAAATAAAAGAAGCTTAAAAGAAGGCAAAGGGAATAGAAGAGACAGAGAAACAAATAGCAAGAGAGTAGGCATAAACCACACTGTATCAACAATTACATTAAATAATCACCCCACAGAAAAGGCAGTGATTGCCAGCCTGGATAACGCAACATTCAGACATATCCTGTTCACAAAGGATGTCCTGTGTAAAAACACAGAGAGGTTTATAGTCAAGAGAATGGAAAATATATGCCATGCAAATAAATAATCATGAGGAAGCTAGCGTGGCTGTATTAATATCAAACAAGTCAGGACAAGTAATACCAGACATTAAGAAGAGCATTTCAGCCCTGGCCGGTTTGGCTCAGCGGTTAGAGCGTCCGCCTGCGGTCTGGAGAGACCCGGGTTCGGTTCCCGCTGGGGGCGCGTACCTCGGTTGCAGTTTGTCCCCGGCCCTGGTTGGTCGTGCGGGTGGCAGCCACTCGATGTGTCCCTTTCACATCGATGTTTCCCTCTCTCTCTCTCTTCCTCTCTCTCCCTCCCACTCTATCTGTACAAAAAATGGAAAAATGTCCTCGGGTGAGGATTAAAAAAAAAAAAAAGAAGAGCATTTCATGCCCTGGCCGGTTTGGCCCAGAGGTTAGAGCATTGGCCTGCAGTCCAGAGAGTCCCGGGTTCGGTTCCCGCTAAGGGTATGTACCTTTGTTGCAGTTTGTCCCCGACCCTGGTTAGGTCGTGCAGGAGGCAACCACTCCATGTGTCCCTTTCACGTCGATGCTTCTCTCTCTCTCTCTCTCTCTCTCTCTCTCTCTCTCTCTCCCTCCCTCCCTCCCTCCCTCCCACTCTATCTGAACAAAATATGGAAAAACGTCCTCAGGTGAGGATTTTTAAAAAAAGAAAGAAGAGGAACTTCCGGTCAAGATGGCGACGTAGGGAAACGCAGTATCGCGTCCTCCCACAACCACATCCAAGTTACAACAAAACTACAGAACAACCATCATCCAAAACCGCCTGAAATCAAGCTGAATGGAAGTCCTACAACTACGGAATTTAAAAAAAAGGCAGCTACATCCAGACTGGTAGGAGGGGCGGCGGCGCGAGGGGTGGCGGCAGCCGCACGGAGGCAGCACGACGGGCTGGTCCCACACCCACGTGCGGCGGATAAAAATCAGGAGGCTCCCGAGGCTGGGAAGGTCCTTCCTGAGGACTGAGGGGTCCCCGTCCCACACCAGGTGCCCCGCTCAGGTTTCCAGTGCCAGGAAGAGAATCCCCATAACTTCTGGCTGGAAAAACCAGCAGAAACTGAGGCTCAGGGAAGCTGACCTGGCTGGAGCCACAGGCAGCTCCCTAAAGGGCCCGCGCACGGACTTATCGGACTCTCTCCCTCTAAGCTCGGAGGGGAGGCAGCTCCAGGGGCACCAGAGAATTACAGGGAGGAACTGAGCTGTTTGGCACTGGAGTGAGGGCTGGAGAGGGGGCTTTCTCGGGGACAAACGTGCTGTAAGAGGCCTTTGTTCCTTTGGTGAGCCCTTCCCGGGGGCGGCAGACAGTCGCCATATCTGGGACTCCAGCAACCTGGCTCACACTGGTAGCCCCGCCCTGGTGACTCCCTGAGGCCCCGCCCCACCCAACTTTCAGGCCCACCCAAGCTGTTGCTACTTGCTTAACCATAGGATTGGCCTGTCTTGGATCTTGCTTCAGGTTTTTCCTAAATTCTTTCAAACGAGCAGCATCGGGTCTCAGCGAGCCCCATACCTCTCATTAAGTAATACACTGAAACAAACACAGGGAGGCAGCAAAATGAGGATACAAAGAAACAGGTCCCAAATGAAAGAACAGAACAAAACCCCAAGAAAAGAACTAAGCGAAATGGAGATAAGCAACCTAACAGATGCTGAGTTCAAAATACTGCTTATAAGGATGCTCAATGAACTCAGTGAGGGCCTCAAGAGCATAAAAAAGTACCAGTCAGAAACGATCGCTGCACAGTTAGAAACGAAGGAGGCTTTAACTGAAATAAAGAATAATTTACACAGCTTCAATAATAGAGTACGTAAATCCAAGGAGCAAACCATCGATTTGGAATATAAGGAAGCAAAAAACGCCCAACCAGAACAGCAAAAAGAAAAAAGAATCCAAAAAAATGAGGATAGTGTAAGGAGCCTCTGGGACAACTTCAGGCGTGCCAACATTCGCATCTTGGGGGTGCCGGAAGGAGAAGAGAGAGAACAAGAAATCGAAAACCTGTTTGAAACAATAATGGCAGAAAACTTTCCTAACTTGGTGAAGGAAACAGACATACAAGTCCAGGAAGCACAGAGAGTCCCAAACAAGATGAACCCCAAGAGGCCCACACCAAGACACATCATCATCAAAATGCAAAAGGTTCAAGACAAAGAGAGAATCCTAAAAGCAGCAAGAGAAAGGCAGCTAGTTACCTACAAGGGAGTTCCCATAAGGCTGTCAGCTGATTTCTCAAAAGAAACTTTGCAGGCCAGAAGGGAGTGGCAAGAAATATTCAGAGTGATGAAAACCAAGAACCTACAACCAAAATTACTCTATCCTGCAAAGCTGTCATTTAGAATCGATGGACATATAAAAACTTTCCCAGACAAGAAAAAGTTAAAGGAGTTCATCACTACCAAACCGTTATTATATGAAATGATGAAGGGTCTTTTTAAAGAAAAAGATAAAATGTAGGAACAAACAAAATGGCAATGAATACATATCTATCAACAATGGAATCTACAAACAAAATGAACAGGAAGAACAGGAACATTCTCATAGATACAGAGAATATTTTGTTGGTTGCCAGTTGGGAAAGGGGTTGGGGGAATGGATGAAAAAGGTGAAGGGATTAAGAAGCACAAATTCATTGCTAGACTGACAAACCTCAAAGGGAACGGGGTTGGGGGGGTGGGAAGAAATAAACCAAAGAACTTATATGCATAACCAATGGACACGGACAATAGTATGGGAAAAGGTGGGAGGGGGGCGGGAGTGGGGAGGAGGGGGTCAATGGGGGAAAACTGTGGAACATCTGTAATACATTTTACATCCAACAATAAAGATGTGGAAAATAAATAAAAATAAAAAATAAAAAATAAAAAAAAAGAAAGAAGAGCATTTCATCCTAATAAAAGGGTCAATTCATCAGGAAAACTGAGTTATCTAAATGTCTATATACCTCATAATAGAGTTTTAAAATTAAGAAAAAATTTCAGAACTAAAGCAAGAAATAGATAAATCCATGACCATGATCATAGTTGGAAATGTCACCTATTCCCTCCCAGGAGCTGATGGAAAAGAAAGAAAATACAGATTTAAAATATCAGGAATAAGAATGGGGGAGCATCGTTTATAGAGCCTGTAGACATTAAATGGGTAATAATGAAATGCTGTGATCAAATGTATGCCACTACATTCCATATCTTAAAAGAGATGGACAAACTCTTGAGAGGCACAAGTTATCTGCCCCTTAGGTGGAACGCCCAGGGTAATTCACCCCAAGTCCTTGTGATCTGCTTCCAGTCCCTGTCCAGTTGCTCTTGTTACTTATTTGCACTCATGTTGGGCAACTGAGCTTCCCTTCCAGTCCTGTTTCCCTCGTTTGTCGATAGCAGAGGGGCCCCTGGTCTCCACTACCTTTCCTTTCCTCTACTTCCCCCTTCAGGAGTGTCCTAAAGCTGACGAATCTGATACGCAAGGGGGTGCTGCCTCAGAATGTCAGGCCCCCCAAAGACATTCTACTCCTGCCCTCTCTGGACTATCTAAAGTGGATCGAAAAGCTCCCTCAACACCTCCAGTACGAGGTCGTGCACTCCTCCCCACCCTGCAGCATCAGGGAACAGAAAGAAAAGGTGTGTTTGTGGGGATGGGAGGGTAGTCCCAAAGGCCCCAGAGGACGCTGGGAAATGTAGTTTTCAGGAGCCTCCTGGGCCACCCAAGCATCTTCTGAGGCAGGTAACAGCTGTGATCACATTTCCACCACCATTTTGTGTGTTACTGGGGCTTCGGCTAAGTAGTCCCCCTGTTTTGAATTCTCACACTGAATAGGACCCCTATTTTTAGAGGAGGAACTGAGGCCCCAAGAGGTAAAGCTCACACAGCTTATGAAACCAAAAGGGGCGAACACTTGGCCCTCTGCCACTCACTCTCTCACCACGCGGCGCCTCCGTCCTTCGCCTGAGACAGACATTGCTAATCACTCAGACGCAGACAATAAGGACAGAAGCAGGGAGGTCCATGAAGAAAATCTGCACACGAGTTCTGTTCAGGCAGCCGGGTGGGTTCTGCGGGAACAAGCAGTCAGGACCTAGGAGACTCTGGTTCCCGTGCCATTGACCACATGGGCTGGTCTGAAGGCAGAGGACTGGAGCGGGGCACTACTGGGTTGGGGGATTCCTACGGGGAGACCAGATGCAGGGCCCAGGCTCAGGGAGGGCTGGCAGGACTCAGCGTCCCCTAAGAATTGAGAATGTGTGAGGGAACCGGAGGCTGCTGGGCCTACTCTGCCAAGGGCTCCAGGTGCTGGTGGCCAGAGGAGGGCTGCATCCCACATGTCCAAGCCCATCGCCCCCACACCAGTTCCCCCCTCCACTGCCTCAGAGCCCGTCTCCCCCACAGTTCATGCAGGGCCCTGGCCTGGCATTTGCAGCCTTTTCCCAAGCCGTCTCGTTGCTTCCTGGCGCCTCCTTCTGGTCCATTGTCCTCTTCCTGGCCCTCCTCGTCACAGAGCTGAGTGCCTTGATAAAGATCCTGGAAGGCATTGTCTTTTCCCTCCAGAACACCATCTCCACCATTAAGAAGTACCGCCTGATGCCCCCAGGTACTGTGGATTCTCACTCCCGTGAAAACCCTGCCCTGCCTTTCCCTCCCCCGGCCGCCCCAATCTCCAGGGCTTGCTTCGACCCCTGACCCGGTCCTACACATTGACCTCAGTGTGGCCAAACCTGCCTCTGCCTTAGTGGTCATCTGCTTGGGAGGTTTCCTCGGCAGCCTGGTCTTCACCAGTCACCCTGGCAGCTACATAATGTCTTTGTTTGATGACCACCTGATCCCGCTGATCCTTTTCATCATCGTGGCCTTCCAGAATACGACCCTGGCCTGGATCTATGGAGCTAACAGGTGATGTCCAAGCCCTGGGGTCTTCCCAACCAGGGGCCCCATCCCAGGTCTCTGAGGAGAGTTGGGCACATTCTGAGAGCTCGGGAGGGCAGAAGGCAGTGATCTGAGGGCAGCGGGTGGGTTCTGCAGGAACAAGCAGTCAGGACCTAGGAGACTCTGGTTCCCGTGCCATTGACCACATGGGCTGGTCTGAAGGCAGAGGACTGGAACGGGCCACTACTGGGTTGGGGGATTCCTACGGGGAGACCAGATGCAGGGCCCAGGCTTGGGAAGGGCCTGGCAGGACTCAGCGTCCCCTAAGAATTGAGAATGTGTGAGGGAACCAGAGGCTGGTGGGCCTACTCTGTCAAGGGCTCCAGGGCCTGGTGGCCAGAGGAGGGCTCTATCCCATATGTCCATGCCCATTGCCCCTACCCTAGGTTCAGGGAAGAAATGTACAGTGGGCTGGGCCACTTGCTATGGTCCTTCTTCACCTTCCTGTGGTGCTATGTGACCCTCCCCGGGCTGCTGGCCCTCCTCATCATCTGCCTCATGGGTCTCTATGAGAGCAAGCCCCGTTATTACATCGCCTGGAACAGAAACATGGTGAGACTCCCCCCACCCTGGCCTCCTACTTTCACTCTGGGGACACTTTGTCAGATCTTCTGCCCCACAGAACCCTAGACCTGTGTTCTTACCATCCCCAGGGACTATCTAGCCAACTTCCCAGCCCCTGGGGAATCTGATCCTCCACATTACACGGACTAAAACCCCATCACCTCCTCTTCCTCCCACCCTCACCACCCCCCACCCCCACCTCCAGACCCAGGAAGTAAAACAACCCTACATGCAGAGCACCTTGGGCTGGATCACCTTCCTCAGCGTCCTCACCTTCCTACCAATCCCGATCTATCCACTTCACCAGTGGTGGTACCTCCAGGACCACATTGTCAACGAACCCTTTGAAAAGCCACTGTCCAAAAAGATGCCCTTGGTGCCCACCAAGCCCTCACAGCGGCTTAATTACTTCTTGGCCAAGCCCACCTTCATGTCCCAGGAGAGAAGGAGCGAGATCTCGACCAAGAGGTCCAGCACGGTCAGGGGGCTGGACTCCATGTGGTGGTTCCACCTGCCCTCGAATCAGCAGAGTAGCAGCTCTTCCAGGTTCAGCATACCTCTCATTGCCTCCCTCACATCCATCTTCTCCATGAGGAGCCTCAGCCTCCCCAGTTCGAGGCAGGTGAGCCCGAGCTCCAACATAGACAACAGTGACAAAAGCAAGGAGAATAATGAAGAAAATCTGCCCAAGAAGTCTGTTCAATAACTGGGGACTCCGCCCATTCCCCCCCCCCCCCCCCCAGGAGCAAATCTGTCAGGTGACTGGCAGCATTGGTGCCCATTTTGCTCCAGGAATCATTGGTTCTGCCAGAAAGGAAGGGGAGGGACTCGTGGAAATTTACCTAGCAACCAGTGACATCACTCAACTTGGCCTTAGAAGGGAAATGAACAACCGGGGAGCTCCTCCTTCCTCTCCTGGAATAGTGCTGATTCTACTAAGTGAAGTGGAACACTCTGCTCTGAGATTGGAGAACCCAGAAAAATCAACTGAATTGCTCACAGGGCTGGGCCTAGTGCCCCCGTGCTCCCTGTGAAGTGGGGGCACCATTTTGGCCTGATGGGTAGGGGCACCCCTGCAATTTCTAGGACCCAGCTTCCTGGTTATCATGGAGATAGACAGTGTTCTCTCCCACCCCCACCTCCACCACCAAGCTTCTCAGGGCGGCCCTCAGAAAGGGGGTGGCACAGCAATGCTGTGTGTCAATAAATCAGTCCACTGGGACTAGTGCTCTTTCTGTGAGTCGATACCTCCCCCCCTCAACACACACACACACACTCGCACACACACACCCTAAATCGCCAACCTCTGGTGAACTGAGTGTCCAATCTGGTGACTCCAACCTCCCTTTGAGACACAGATATTGAGTTTCTAGACCCCTTCTTTGTCCTGGAGTTGAGCCAAACTGTGGGACAACTTGGCAGCAACCAGAGTCACTCAAACCAGAATGTGTGTTAACCCCTAAATCTAAGGTGTAACTGGGAACCACACGAAATCTGTCCAAAACTGTCCTCTCACTACTACCACCAAGAGAGAAGCAAGCCTAGAACAACCCCCGGCAGGGAGGTCCTGTCTTGCTGGCTTTTATGCTTTGTTCTTACTTGGGGTAGAGTCTCACCCACTTGGGCCTGGACCACTTGGGTTCTGTGGGCTCAGGACCAAGGCATGTTGGAGAACTTGGAGCTTATTAGAGTTGCCTGTGGGAGTAGGTAACACTGCCCTGGCCTCTTCAAATGCCAAGTGGAGTTAAAGCAGCTCGGGGGCGGGGAGCCACTGTTCAGAAACCATACCCCTTAGTGGCTTCCTGGGCAAAACCCTTGACCCCACACCCCACCCTCAAAGGTCATGACCTTGAGAGCCAGTGCCTGCTCCCATCACCACCTGCTGTAGTTCCCAATCACTTCCCAAATCTTCACCTGCTTTTTCGCACCTTTTATTTACCTCAGAGGTCTCTCAACATTCTTCTTCTTTTTTTTTAAATGTGTTTTTATTAGCTTTTTGGAGAGAGAGAGAGAGAGAGAGAGAGAGAGAGAGAGAGAGAAACATCGGTGTGAGAGAGAAACTTCAATCAGCTACCTCCTGCATGCCCCCTACCAGGGATCAAGCCTGCAACCCAGGCATGTGCCCTGACCAGGAATGGAACTGGGACCTCTCAGTCCAAGGGACGACACTCAATCCACTGAGCCACACTGCCTGGGCTCTAGACATTCTTTATCACACAACCCTATCAGGGATATTTTGAGACAATATCCCTAACATCTGTAAAAAATTTATGTGTGAACTACTGTCATTTCTACATATTTAATATCAGTAAAGTTTAATTTGTTTTGCTTCTTGAGGTTTAAAAAAACAGAAATTTTTGCAGTAAAAATTCTAATTTTTTCTTCTTTTTATTTTATTTTATGTATTTTTATCCTCACCCGAGGACATTTTTCCATTTTTTGTTCAGATAGAGTGGGAGAGAGAGAGAAACATCGATGTGAAAGGGGCACATTGATGTGGCTAGGCCACATGGGTAGCATTAGAAAGTAGTTGCAGCCCTGGCCAGTTTGGCTCAATGGTTAGAGCGTTGGCCCGCAGAGTAATGAGTGGCAGGTTCGATTCCGGTCAAGAACCTAGGTTGCAATTCGTCCCGGCCCTGGGTGGGGTTGTATGGGAGGCAGCCACTCAATGTGTCCCTTTCACATCGATGCCCCCCCACACACACACACACTCCGTCTGAACAAAAATGGAAAAAATGTCCCCGAGTGAGGATAAAAAAAAAAAAGTAGCCCTGGCCGGTTTGGCTCAGCGGTTAGAGTGTCAGCCTGCGGTCCAGAGAGACCCGGGTTCGGTTCCCGCTAAGGGCACGTACCTTGGCTGCAGTTTGTCCCCGGCCCTGGTTGGGTCGTGTGGGTGGCGGCCACTCGATGTGTCCCTTTCACATCGATGTTTCTCTCTCTTCCTCTCTCTCCTTCCCGCTCTATCTGAGTAAAAAATGGAAAAATGTCCTCGGATGAGGATAAAAAAAAAAAAAAAAAAAGTAGTTCAGTCAAGTGTTGGCAATCTTTTCCGATATAGAGCCAGATAAGGTGTCTACTGCACCTTCTTTATTTCTTACAACTCTTTAAATATGCAAAAACCATTCTTAGCTGGCCAGCCAGATTTATCCTACAGGCCATGGTTTGCCAACCCCTGATCTAAGGCCATGTCAGGCCGAAGAGAGAATGCCGGTGGCTAAACCAGAATCTAGTTTCAACGCCCTAGTTGGCCGGCTTTGGGCCAGGCTGCCACCTGGAGGGTGTAACCACCAGGCTGTCCAGCAAAGGAAGGGTGACCCCAAAATGGTCAGGAGGCAGAATCTTTAATTTTCTTTTCTTTTTTTTTTTTTCATTCTTTATTCAGGTAGAGTGAGAGGGAAAGAGAGGAACAGAGAGAGAAACATCGATGTGAAAGGGACACATCGAGTGGCTGCCACCCGCACAACCAACCAGGGCCTGGGACAAACTGCAACCGAGGTACGTGCCCTTAGCGGGAACCGAACCCGGGTCTCTCTGGGCCACAGGCCGATGTTCTCACCGCTGAGCCAAACTGGCCAGGGCAGAATCTTTAATTTTCAAAACAGATCTGTATAACGCCCCTACCCCTTCACTCTCAGTTATTATCAAGGAAGCAGCCACGATGAACCCCTCTAGAAACATCCACATTTACTGACCAAACTCCCTGACTATGGTACGTGGACCAGGAGGTAGAGTCAGGAACATATTTTGAACTGATTTTATGAGGAAACTGTTCCAACAATAATACCAGACGCCTGTGCATGGTGGGGAAAGTGGAAAGTCCCGTCCAATACCTTAGCTATTTTGGGGGGGGGGGGGCTCAATATTTTATTATTCAAATTTTAAACACACAGAAAAAATTTGAAGGATGACCAATGAACATCTCTGTATCTTCCACAATGACTCAACAATAGTTGACTAATCTTTTATACATTTATATGACAATATGCTGTAAATATCATGACTTTTAAAACTTGAAATCTGCCCTGGCCAGTTTGGCTCAGCGGTTAAAGCGTCCGCCTGCGGTCCGGAGAGACCCGGGTTCGGTTCCTGCTAAGGGCACGTACTTCGGTTGCAGTTTGTCCCCGGCCCTGGTTGGTCGTGCGGGTGGCAGCCACTTGATGTGTCCCTTCACGTCGATGTTTCTCTCTCTCCCTCCCTTCCTCTCTCTCCCTCCCACTCTATCTGTACAAAAAATGGAAAAATATCCTCAGGTGAGGATAAAAATAAATTAAATAAATAAATAAATAGAACTTGAAATCTTTATAAACTCAGAATGGATAAAAGACTTAAATGTGACCCGTGAATCCACAAAAATCCTAGAAGAAAATGTAGGCAACAACATTTCGAACATCATACGCAGCAGAATTTTCACTGATACATCACCTAGAAATGCGCCATGAGAAACTTCATTTTCCACCATACAGAGGTCTTCCCCTTGCTGTAACTGGAAGATAACCTTTGGTTTGGAAAACATAATCCCCAGAGAGACTAGAGTGTTATAGTTTTCCAGCATCGCCTCCCTGTACAAGGTTCTCTGCACAGAGAGGACCGCCACACCACTGAATGTCACAGAATCCTGAGCCTGGGCCGGTAGCAACTTTGTGGTCATTTCTCCTTACCCACTGCCCCTCTTAGAGAAGGTCCCGGCAGTCTGTGCCCGCCCCACCACGAAGGGTAGGTGAAGCGAAGGACCTCACTAGACAAGCAGAACACCCAGCGTAGGAACATTTTTCACCGCCGCCAGGCCGCCCAGCGTAATTGTGCCTGCGCACCGAAGAGCCAATCCAATACCTTAGCTATTGACTGACTGCACTGTGTCTCAAGATTTGGCTTTGAGGTTGGCTGGCTGCTGCACCCTAGTGGACACCATCAGCATTTAAAAAATGGGATGTTTAGAGAGAGAGGAAGAGAGAGAAACATCGATGTGAGAGAGACACATTAATGTGAGAGAGAAACATCGATCGATTGCCTCCCACATGCACCCTGACCAGGTACTGAACCCGCAACCTGGGCACGTGCCCAGATCAGGAATCAAACCAGCAACCTTTTGGTGTATGGGATGACACTCAACCAACTGAGCCACACTGGCCAGGGCCATCAGTTTTGTTTTTTTTTATTCCTAACCCTAGGATACTTTTCTATTTATCGTTAGATAGAATGGAGGGAGAGAGAGAGAAACGTCAATGTGATAGAGCCTCATCGACTGGTTGCCTCCCACACGACCCGACCAGGGCCGGGGACAAACTGCAGACGAGGTCCGTACCCTTGACCAGAATGGAACCCATGACTCATTGGCCCATGGGCCGACACTTTAACTGCTGAGCCAAACCGGCCAGGCAGGCCCTCAGCTTTCAACTTAGCTCGATGGGCAATGAACCTGGCACCGACGTTTATGGGAACCTCTGTAAGGGGGGGGAGGGGGCCCTGCACTGAGCCAGTGGCTTTGTTTCAGGAAGTAGAGTGTGGGAAACAAGGTTTCTCCAAGGGGGTAACCGCTACTTTTCCACTGCAAAACAGACGAACGAGGACCAGGCCGGCTGTACTCTTGAATATACCGTTTACACTTAACCATTTCAGACCTCACTAGTAGTCAAGATTGAGTTGATGTGCTCCAAAATGGAAATGTAAGACTAGGTGAGTCCCAAGACCTCCAAGGGTAAGGCCAGGTTCCTTGCTTTCCAGGAGAGCTTAATAACAATTGCGGCCTTTTCTTAAAAGGGGTG